ACCTAGGAAAAGTAATAGCCTAGGAGAAGTCTTAATCCTAGGTAGAAAATAGGTATCGCTGTATATACTAGATCTATATAAGCTTTTAGGAGGTCTATAAGATAGTTTAGTATTTAATATAAGATTGACTTATAATAGATATTCCTTTATAATCTTAGTGCTAGTAGATACTAGAGTAGATGGCTTAATATTTATTAATATAGAACTAGTCATACTACTTGGTAAGAAATTCGGATTATATATCTATAAGCTGGACTGCGAGTATCTGGTTAAAGGATTCGATGGTAAATTATCCTGACTAATTATATATACTGTTGTCCTTATACTAAGTATAGACGACTGGATCTAATAGTAGATTCCTATACTAGTAGTGGATCTAGGTAGATATAATATGATTATTAGATATATATAGTTTACTGAGAACGATGTCTTCTTTGACTACTAACGGTATTGTATGATCTAGCTAGATAAGAATACCCTTTTTGATAAGGTAGTAGGCTAGTTAGCTGTACTAGTACCTATAACGATCCTTAAACGGCCTATATGAATTAAGCTGGATTACTAGAAGGATATAGAATAACGTGATTGTCTCTTTAAGAAATAAGTCTTAAGTAATCTATAATAGGACCTAAAGACTTAGAAGCTATACCCTATTGTAAGGGAATATTAATATAGATACTGGTAAGTTAAAGAGTATTATAAGATGGTACGAAACCTAAATGATGAAATTAAACTAGTACCTCTCTGAATAGAGGTACTAGAAGAGGAAATAAAGGAAGTTCTCTTACTAATAGATATTAGTATTATTGGCTGGGTAGGATTTAATCGTTTATAAATATAAATGGTTATTGATAAAGATATCGAAGTCTTTTAGACCTTACTCTATGAAATCGATTGGATTATTAATATTAAATCTATAATTGTAAAGGATATAGAACTCGATAAGATTAAACGAATCCTTCTAAGGGAGTACCACAATCTTATAGAAGTATTCTCTAAGAAGAAGTCTAATAAACTGCCACTATATCGCCTAGGGGTAGACTATGAAATTATCCTTAAAGTAGAGGTATAGTTAGGATACTACCTATTCTATAAATTATTGTTAGATAAACTAAAGGCTGCGAAATAGTATATCCTTGATAACCTTGAAAAAGGATTTATTATACCTAGTTTAGCTCTGTATGCCTTATTAATCTTAATGGCTAAGAAGCTAGGCGGTAGTCTACGTTTCTGTGTAGACTTCTAAAGATTGAATGTAATTATAAGGAAAGATTATTACTTGTTACCCCTTATCGATGAAGTACTCTAACGAATAAATAAAGCGAAGTTCTTTATAAAGCTCGATATCTATTAAGGTTTCTACTGTATTAGATTAATGTTGGCTATAGAAGATCTTACGATATTCTGTACCTAATATAGATTGTTTAAGTATAAAGTGACTCTGTTTAGTCTTATAAATGGTCTAGTAATGTTCTAGCGATTTATAAATATAGTACTTAGAGACTGTATAGATAACTACGCAGTTGTATTTATAGATAATATTATGATCTACAGTGAGATACTCGAAGAATATAAGAAGTATATTAGGGAAGTCCTTGAATGGTTATAAAAGGTAGGATTATAGGTTATACTATCTAAGTATGAATTCTCTGTATAGAAAACTAAGTTCTTAGGATTTATTATAAGTACTAAGGGTATCGCGGTAGATCTAGAGAAGATTGTAGTTATTAAGAACTAGAAGATACTGTTAATAATTAAAGGAATATAGTCCTTCTTAGGATTCTGTAACTTCTATCGACGATTTATTAAGGATTATAGTTTCCTTTCGAAACTATTATACTATCTTATATAGTATAATATAGTATACGAATGGTCACTAGACTGCGAGTAAGCGTTTATATAACTAAAGTATAAGTTAATAACTATACCTATCCTATAGTATTATGATCTAGACCTCTAGACCTGTATGGAAATAGATGCCTCGAATAGAGTTATTAGTACTGTCCTCTTATAATACTATAAGGCTGATGATTTTTAGTATCCTATTGCCTTCTTCTTAAAGACTATATAACCTATAGAGCTTAATTACGAAATCAGGGATAAGGAACTCCTTACGATTATTTGTGTACTCTAGGAATAGCGCCTAAAACTTAAAGGACTCTCTTGTATAGAATGTTTTAAGATCCTTATAAATTATTAATCTCTTAAATACTTTATAATAGTATGATAGATAAATTAATGATAAGTATGGTAGAGTGAGTTCCTCTTATAGTTCTACTTTATAATTAAATACTATCCTAGGAAATAGAATATTATTGTAGATATCCTTTTAAGAAAGGAAAGTCCCTATATAGATGTTAGTCAATACCTTATATTACTCCCTAAGGAATATTTTGGAAAAGAAACGGAACTGGTACTAGAAATCGAGGTATTCCCTTTATAGATAGAACCTATATAAGATACTGAGATTCCCCCTCTACCGGTTGAGACTATATAGGACCTAGATATAACTGAATGAGTCTAATTAGTAAACTACTAGAACCTAGAGCTAGAAGTATTCTAATAGATCATAAGAGATTAAATGGATCCCTATTAGGTAGTGTGAGATAAATTACTGTTATTTAAAGATTGTCTAGAAGTACCTAATAAAGGGGATCTTTGAGTACGATTACTTGATGAGATATACTGATAACCGCTAACTGTATACCCTGGTATTAAGAAACTTAAGAAGCTTATTGTAACTAGATACTATTGGCTAGGATGGGTTACGGATGTAAAGTGATATATAGATAACTATCTAATATATAAATGTATAAAGACCTAGAGAGATTGTATACCTAGTCTCCTATACCCGCTATCTATTCCTAAATGACTGTGGTAATATCTATTAATAGATTTCTGTTCCTTCCTAAAGGATAGATATAGCTATAATATAGTATTTGTTATTGTTAACTGACTAAGTAAGAGACTGATATTAATTCCCTATTATAAAGATACTAATGTAAAGTAGATAGTATATCTATTTATAGATAATGTTATACGGATTATAGGAATCCCTGAAATCATTGTATTAGACTAAGGAGGATAGTTTATCTCTGAGTTCTAGATAGAGTTCTGTAGAATCCTAGGGATTAAGCGAAAACTGTCTATTGTATACTACCTATAGATAGACAGCTAGAACGAAATTGTAAATTAGTTTATAGTATAGCGATTAAGACTATATATTGAATATAACTAGGATGACTGGTTAGAATACCTACTGATAGTAGATTTCGCGGTATTAATTCTTCTGTAGGATATAATAAAGAGGTCCCCTTTCTTTGTTAAATGGGGTTATGAACTAGTAATGTCTTTCGATTGGAATTGTATAGGACTGATATATAACGAATAAGAAGCAGCTGATCGACTCTTAAAGTTATAATAAATCTAGGAAGATATATGTGAATAAATTGCGAAGTTATAGGAACTATAAATATAGTAGGCTAACCGTTATTATCGCGAAGAGGACTTTAACGTTAGCGACCTGGTCTTTATTACTATGAAAGATTGGCTATAAGACTATCTGAGTCGAAAACTCTCCTATATAACTAGTGGACCCTATAAGATTATTGAAAAGGTTGGGAATATATATAAGTTGGAACTACTACAGTTAATTAATGTCTACCTAGTATTTAACCTAAGTAAGCTATGGAAGGTAGTAAGTATAGAACCACTTGTAGGATAATATATGGATCCGCTACCTCCGATACGGGTAGGATAGACTAATGAGTAGGAAGTTGAAAAGATCCTAGATATAAGAAAGTATTATAGGAAGCTGCAGTACTATATATAGTGGTTAGGATATAACCTGGATCCTGTATAGTACCTGGCCGGTAACTTTAAGAATACTCTAGAGATGATTAAGGAATTCTACAATACCTATCTAGCGAAGCCTGGACCGCCAATGCGTCTATAAGAATGGATCGAGGCTGCGCGGGATGATCGAATATTGGACGACCACGTGGATGACGAGAAGCCAGCATTTAGGGACTAAATGTATTCTCGCCTAGGGGTTATGTTACAATTGGCATGTGTAGAACTTGTACCTTCCCGTTTGGGATTGTACTGTTGGTCGTTTGCGCAAGCAATTGTACCTTCCTTTATGGCTAAGCGAGGATAGGGCTTTGCCCCCGAAGGGGTATAAAGACCCGTTTGTTGTTCTACGTTTTGTTTTCTTTTCTTTTCCTTTCTCATACTTGATATTTCGTTAGCAATGCACTTCTTCTGCTAAAGAGAACCTGGCACGTAACAGTCCTAAACGAAATTCCGATTGTGATTGGTTGTTATTACTTTCGGGGTCGAGTCTTGTTTTCAGGGGTATCCCGGTACGTGGCCAGGTGTCTCAATGTTGACTAAATGGTGTATCCAAAAATGGGATAAAATGTTAAAAAATTGTAAGAGTCAAGTTTAAAGCGATTCCGGGCTCATAACTGACAGAAAAACGGTGGTAAGGCGATTGTATATATGGCAGAAAAATCTCAATAAATTCTCTAACTCTCTAAAAATGACAATAGTCCTAAAACATGACAATCTTGTGGACAACTTAGTAATCAAAACAAACAAAACAAAATGAAAGGATGTTTTTCGGGCGAAAAACTGCGGGACTGGTTTTTCGGGCGAAAAACCACCTGAGTTGGTTTTTCTGCAGAAATACCAGCCTGATCAGTCACGTGACCCAACTGTATCAGGAATGAAAAATAACAGTATTCATCCTAGATTCTGACACAAAGCTCTATTTTGGGTCTACCGACCCTCTACAAAACCTCTTGAATAGGGAAGCTTTCCAGAGTGAAATATGACAGTATGTACTACTTCAAAGCTCGTTGTACATATTCAGAAGCACTAAGTACAGCCAACATGAAAGATACTTGCGATCCCTGAGAAAAGCACGCGATGTTGGGAACTTTAACGAAATGACCACATTGATTTAGTCAAGTGGGTGCGTCAACTTAGCCCTCAGATTACATAGTCCCGGTAACTCCGCCGTCAACTGAGATAAACTGTGCAGTGATCCACCGGCTCTTTTCTGATACTAGCAGAAGTGTAGCATCAGCCAGATCCTCCACTGACCCGAGGCGATTCGCAGCTCGCGTCTGTTCATACATAGAAATTTGAAGCGCAGTTGGAGACCCGTCAGCGGCCACCAGATATGCTTTCGACATATCTGTTGGAACTGGACCGGGTGCGAGTGTATTGACGGTAATCCCACGACTCTTGTCAAGCTGTCCGGCATTTAGTTAGATGGTTGTCGAGCGTAGAGAGTGGGAATACACGAAAGAAAGCTTACCTCGCCAGCCCAGAACGTTGTCAGGCATCCATTGCAGCTTTTGTCGCACCGTATACAGGGGGTGGGACCAAAATTTTGGAGGCGATGGAGCCGATGTTGACGATGCGGCCGCCTTGCGGCATTCGACCTACGCCAACAACAGCTTGTGTCATATAAATCACGCCGAAGACGTTGACGGCGAATTCGTATTCGAGCTGCTCTGCTTTAACCTCCAAGAGCGGTGTGTTGCGTGCAGCCGCTGCGTTGTTGACTAGAATAAATAGTCAATCAGTCTTGTCCAACTACCCGGAAAGGACATCACGCCGCCCATGACATAGCGAGAATATCGATGTGATCGACACTAAATGCTTTCAGAATTTGCTCAACCATGTTCTTCGCAGTATCGTAATTTTCCACTCCTCCTTGTACGACGGTGGTTTTGGTGCCAAACTCTTTATTGATGTCCAGCGCTACCTTCTCAGCCCGCGCCTTGGAGCCTTCCGACACATAATGAATTGCTACAGACGCGCCGTTCCGGGCCAAAGCTCTGGCAATAGCGGCACCAATGCCAGTCTCTCTGCCAGAACCTGTAACCAAAGCAGTCTTTCCTGCAAGCGAGAGTGTGTCCGGCATATCCAGGAAATAAGCAAAGAAAGCTATCAAAGCAGATGATCACACAGCTAGTTCTGAACTCCGACTGGTAAGAAGCTATATTTTATATATAAGACAAATTATAAATCATCGAGTTATAAAAAGCCAGGAAAGCAAAATTGTTCTATCTACAAGACCCCCACTCCTGTTTATTATGAATACCTCGGGCAGGATTGTCGCCGCCCCGAATCGTTTGACTAAGGTTAACGCTGCATGAAAGTCAAGGGGGGCCTATAGGGTATAGAGCATGGTCACGTGCCCTGGACCAATTACGCGTCGCAATTATTAATCCCCCCACGCCAAGTAAGGTTTGTTTGCATCATATTTTGTGCTGTTTGTGTAGATGACTGAGGACCAATGGTTGGCTACGCTCCGTAATTATCAATCGCCCCACTCCAAGTAAGCTTTGTTTGCATCATAGTTTGTGCTGTTTGTGTTGATGACCAAGGACCAATCAACGTCCCGACAGGCGCATGTTGGCTGCATAATCCGTGGTTTGTGTTGATAACTAAGGCCTAATAAACGCTGATGAAAGTCACAAGAGAGAATTAATTATCCAGCTTACCAAGTGTTCGGTCTTCTCGGGTGCCGAGCTGAATAATTCATGTCTTGATGTTCCTGCCATTGGAGTATACAGGTACTTTGTATCCAGCTTACCAAGTGTTCGGTCTTCTCGGGTGCCGAGCTGAATAATTCATGTCTTGATGTTCCTGCCATTGGAGTATACAGGTACTTTTAAGCAGGCCAACCCTCGATCCTTGTAGTCTCTGTATCGAACTCTCTTTCTCCCAATCAATCAATCAATCAATCAATCAATCAATCACTCGCCATGTCTCTCAAAACCCTCACTCTCTGGACCCTCCGGGGCCACGCCGGTACGCCCAACCCCTGGAAGGTCCTCATGGTCCTGGAAGAGCTCAAGGTTCCGTACGAGACCAAGTTGGTCGATCTCGGCGACCTGAAAAAGGAACCCTACGAGTCTATCAATCCTAACGGTCGTGTTCCCGCCCTCGAGGATCCGAACACCGGCATCACCCTCTGGGAATCCGGCGCCATCCTCGAGTACCTGGTGGACAGATACGACAAGCAACACACCATCAGCTTCACCGCCGGCTCAAAGGAGTACTACGTAAGCAAGCAGTGGCTACATTACCAGGTGTCTGGTCAGGGACCGTACTTCGGGCAGGCCGCCTGGTTTACGGTCTACCACCCCGAGAAGGTGCCCAGTGCGGTCGAGCGCTATGTTAACGAGATCCGTCGTGTTTCGGGCGTTCTCAACCGATCGCTCCAGAACAAGGAGTATCTCATTGGCGGCAAGTACAGCTATGTCGATGCTGCTTTTGTGCCGTGGTTTGAGGTGGCTGCGCTCTTCTGGTCGAACGAAATGGATCTCGAGAAGAACTTCCCGCATGTTAATTTCTGGTTGAACCGTATCAAGGCTCGTCCGGCTATTGCCAAGACCATTGATGATAAGGCGAAGGCCGCGGCTGCGGAAGGGAATTAAGGCATTGTGATGGCAGATGGATCTCCTAGATAGAAGGGGAATTTATTTTGATTGAATCCAAATACATATATCTTCATCTCTTAAGCTAGCGTCTTGGCTGTGAGGCGCAGAAAGAATGGAAGAGTGCAAATTGGCGAAGCTGGTTTTACACTTCTCTGTATGCAAATCCTTAATTTAAGGATTAAACCATAATACTACTATTCGAAGTCATATGACCTCTCTCCGCTCCCAATAACTATTTTAGTCCCAGCAGATAGGTAGTTTCCTTTTCTCTCTTTACGCAATTCATGAGAACTTTCTAGAGTATCTACATTTTATCTATAGACTCCTTGATTTATCTCTAATAGGTTATAAGCCCTCGTTCTTAAAGCTACTGTATTACTATAAGCTTTAATCTCTTTTATCCTCCTATTAGTACTAGTATTATACTACCCTATACTAGAATTCCTTTTTTCGCGAATTAGAATCCTACCTAGCTAAGACTAATATCCCGACTATAGTTATTATACTCTATAATAGTATACTTCTATTACTCTAATTAGTTAACTGTTAATCTTACTAGCTGTTTAATACTCTAATTTATTAACTATTATATTCCTAACTATTCTTAAAAATCTAAGTTAATCTACTACCTTAAGTAGTAGATCGCTATCCTTTAGCCTAAAATTTTAGGAAATACTAAATTAATAATCCCTAAGGACTCTCTACCTCTTAACCCTATTATTAAAGGGTTACCTCTTTCTAAAGCTTTATAGCTATCTCTTAGAGATTTAACTCTTAATTATAAACCATACTTTTCTCTTAATAATTAGGCTATTAATAGTAAGATATTAGTTTCCCTTAATATACCTTTAACTTTTAAATATAACTTTAAGTATTATAATAAATCTAATATTAATTAGATTATCCCTAAACTTAAGGGAGAAAGTAACTTTACTATATAGTAGTACTAGACATCGGCAAAGCCCAGTATAGGCCGAAGATTTCGGCCCACGGCCCAACCCCCATGGGCTATGGGCCCAGGGGAGCTGGGCCCAGCCCAGCCTATAGCCCAGTGGGCTAAGCCCATAAGCCCACTGGTAGCCCATTTGGGCCCATTTTTATATAAATAATAGGTCTTGGCATATATAAGGGGGATTATATAAGATTATTAAATTATAGTTTTTTATCGCTTGTTTTAGTCTGGTCATTCTAATAAAAAACATACTAATTTGTCTATAAATATTAATAAAGCCATATCCCATGGGGGAGGGCCGTTCAGGGCTTAACCAAGTTTATATACAGTGATATGCGGGTATTTGGTAGATATGGTTGGTTCCCGCGCGCATCCACTTTGCCTAGTACCATTTTAAATCTTTCTCTCAGTACTAAGTATATATATACACAATTCCTACTTAATTTTATTTCTAATTTCGTATACTTTAATATAACTCTATTATAAATATCCCTGCTAATTTCTAGAACTAAAGCCTAGTAGGAATATATATAATTAGGAAATAAAGAGTAATAGCTAAAATGTAATAATATAGTATAGGGCGGCTGTAGAATAGTTAGCTAAGAATTATCTACCCTAGGTATAGACTGCAGCCTAGCCTCGATTATTTTAAAACTTTTATAGGTAGTAAAGTATAGAGTTAAATATCTAATATTAAGATTATAAGTTTATACCCTTACTATAAAGTATATTATAGGTACTTAAATATCTTAAAAATTTTAATATAGTCGCTAAGGTAGAGCCTTCCTATACTAAGCTTCTATTAAGTTATATATAACTGAATACTTATATATAAATTTCTACCCCTATCTAATTGACTAAACTAGGCTAAATTATACTAAGGTTTTAATAGTTTATATTTAACTCCCTAAGAAGTCTACTTATAAAAGTATAAGTTCTAAGCCTAGCCTTAGTATTAGATATTAGCCCTTTATTATATAGGCTGATTCGAGATATTTTAATAGGGTTAACTATATATTATTTAATAGGCTGACTTACCTACTCTTCTTAAGTCTAAGATTCTACTATAGACTGCCTTCTCCTAAAACTTATATTATATAGTAGAACTAGTATATAATAATTAATTGTACTAGGGAATTAGGTATAGGTTATTATCGACCAGAAATGACATACTTCCGTTTATTCCTTATATCTAGTGGTATATTAGTAGTCAGTAGCTATATATAGCGATTATATAAATATATACCAAGATAGATCTTAGAGGAGAACCCTCCTTTTCACAATTATACTTATTTTACCCTTTAGTCTAGTATCCTACTACTTATATCATATAAAACAGCCTCTCTTTTATTTAATAGTTATAAGCCTGGTTTACTAGTATATTAATTATAATTAAATACTACTATAGTCTACTCTATAAGCTACTATACCCTTAAGTATAGAAGTACTTTTACTTACCTAGTACTTCCTATCTATCCTCTACTAACTTATATAAGAAAGCTATAGAAAATAAGATATTATTCCTTTATAATAATCCTAGTAGGATTACTAAATAGGTCTTAAGTATACCTAGAGTATATATTATTCTAAGGAACTTAACCTAATAGTAAACCTAGTTTATATAGGTAGAGATAATTACTAAAAATCTTAATATTTAGGATTATATTAACCTAAATATTAGTAAAGAAAAGTAGCCTATCCTACCTATAAAGCTAATTTAACTAAATAAAAATAATAAAAAGTATGATTATAATATAATAAGTCGATTAATAATAAATAGCTAACTTAACTATAATAATAATTAGAAAGACTATAATAATAATCTATCTAAGTATAAGATAATTAAACTAATACTTAATAAGGTCTCTAAGAGAATAAGGAATATACTTACTATTAAGATCTAGAATCTAATAGTTAAAGTATAGGAGACTAGTAAGCTATTAGCTACCCTATAATTATATTTCTCTTATATAGATATAAAGTAGGTCTAGATTATTAGGAAATAGTAGATAGTTATAATAATAATACTAATTAAAGATATAGTAATTAATAGTTAGTTAATAAAATTAGAGAATCTCTATATAGAATATATAGCTATAAAAGTAAGCTTTATAACTAATAACTAAAATATAATCTATAATTTCTTAATAGTACTTAATTCTATTAAGCCTTAATTCTATTACTATTAGTATTAGAAGGTCTTTAAATAAAATAGAAAATATATATTTATTAGTATAGTAAATATATACTATTTAGAATAGTTACTCTTTAACTAGAAGAAGTTATTAAAGCTAAAGGTACTATAGGCTACTTTTATAACTCTTAGTAGTTAGGGAAAAGCTAAAAAACTAATAATTATAACTATAATAACTACTATAACTATAAAAGGAAAGAAGATATTAATATCTCTCCTAGCTTATATATATAGAGATAACTACTACTTTAGTATATATCTATACCTAGTTAAGGTAGTATACCTACCTAGTTAAAAACCTAATCCTAATATTTAAAAGAATATATAAG